TCTTACCTGAGCACCAGATGGCCTTCCAGGAAGGAGACAGAGTCCATATAAATGGCCTGCATGCAATGAAGCTTGAGAAATTGGGAGGTGATTTGGGTGACCAGCTGCTCTCTCTTCTCTGGGGAAATAAAGGCAGGCACAAAGATGTCAGAATCAGTCTGTGAAGATTTTGCTTCTTGCCAAGGAAAGAGGCAAAATAAGCCAGGGTGGAGAGTGTCCAGCAGTGACCCACATGCCCTCCTGCAGAGGACCAAGTTTCAATGTTTCCAGGACCTCTGTAATCCTTTGAATGCACGTGGCTGTAATGCACCGAATCATACAATCCATCAGCATCAAACTGTTCCTCTCCTGGACCCAGTGGAGCAGGTTGGATTGTAATGGGCACTGACATTTCTGAGCAAGCCACAGGTCTACAATCACCTTGAGCCTCTGCTTCTCTGTTAACTTTGGTGGTCACTTCTCTAGGACTCTTGTTTCTATCTTCTCTGCTCTACTCCTCTTCACAGTTTCTAATGAGCAGGCTTCCAATAATTTTCCAGACCAACTTTCCCGAAGTTGTGGTGCACATCCCACATATCTAGCACTTGCAATTTCAACCTCCTGTGGGTGAACCCAGAAGGAATCTGAGAATTTTGCCTGGAATCCAGTTTCCTCCTGTGTTTTACACATTCTAGGCATCAGTTGATTTCTCTTCCACTCCCTCTCTGCCTTACATTTTCCTCTTTTCTCCAACTGATCCAGCCCAGTCCATAGTCTTAGTGCCTGTGGGAGGGGTCAGGTTCTTCCTGCTCCTTTCACTGCTGCCTCCAGCATTAGCTGTCTTTCCCATCTGGTAGCCAACTCCCACCAGGCTCAGCGATGCCCAAGGCTTCTCTGATTCTTTTGGTAGTCACCAATCATCAGAGCCTCTGTTCCTCCTCCAGTTCCCACTCTCCCTGACACTTGCTGTCCCTTATGCAAATACCAGGGCCCTTCCTCCAAGATGCCTGGCTCACACTCACCTAGGGCAAACCTTTTGGGTCAGCAGCACATCAAGCCCATCCAGCACAGCTTGTAAGGTCTGTGGGTTTCTTTTCTTCAGACGGACAACATCCAGCTGAATTTCTGATGTCTCTGGTTTCCTTGTATGTATCAGTGCACCAAGAGAGAGGCATGGAAAGGGCCAGGATAGGACCATGGCCTTCAGGACCTCAATGTGCCTTCTGGAGAAGGCCTCTGTGGACATTGGTGGGAAGAGCTTCCCTGGTAAGTCCTTCAGGGCTGCAATAGCCTCCTATGTGTCCCTCAGTAGGCTCTGCAATGCCAGCTGCAGTGGTGTGGGTTGGGACTGAATGCTCATGCTGGTGAATCTGCACAGCCAAGTGTCCTGGGGCAACATTAAGGAAGGAGAAATCCTTTCAGGCAAGGCTGAGATATCCCTCCTCCTCACCCATCAGGAAAATAAGTTTCAGCCAAAAGCTCTGGTCTGGCAATGGTACATGAGTCTTCAGTTTACCCCAAATCTATTTTGTGCTTCTGATCCCAAAACATTAGTCCTACCTGTAATGACACCATGATGAATGTTGTCAGTGCTCAGAGGAAACCAGGTGATGGCCGATGCATGACTTTCCAACTGCAGTCCCCTTAATTCTAGACCCACAGGGAATGGGGAACTAAGGAGTCTGAAATACACTCATGTCATTTTAAAAAAAAAAAAAAAAAAAACTGATCCCAACTCCAATTGCAAAAAAACAAGAAAATGTAAAAGCTGTATGGCTTACTCTAACTTTTCAGTTCCCACAATATACCTGGCTTAAAAATTAAACAGACTGGGGGCTGGAGATTTAGCTCAGTGGCACCACACCTGGCTTGCAAACACGAGGTCTTAAATTTAACCCCGGCACACACACACACACACACACACACACACACACACACACTCGCACATGCACACAAACCAAAAACCAAAATATTAAGCAGACGGAGTGCTGGGGATTTAGTTCAGTGGTTCTGCCACCTGCCTCCCTGAGTTCAATCTCTGGTACAAAAAAAAGCAAATTCCAAAATGCCTTGTGCATTCATTTTAAATAAATGTACAATGCTGTATTCTTCTCCTACCCTAGAACTAGCAGGAGTAGGGACGGTGTGACCTGTCGGGCACCCTCTTTGGTTCCCTGGGTCATCCATCACTTGGCAGTGGAAACAGAGACTCAGTGGGATAACCACTCAGCACTGTGAGCAGCTGGCTTGGGAATTTCTTAAATTGAGAACCCTCTTGTTGGATGAAAATATATGAATCATAAGCTTCTGTGGGTGGATAATGAAAGATAGGTTAGAAGAATTTTGGAAAAGGTGAGAGAAGATAATGGGCTTAAAGAAACCAGCAAATGTTTGGTGATAAAATGGAGATAAGAGTGTAATATTGGGCTGTGGAAATTTGGGGAATGAGTGTTACCTGAATCAACTCTTTCCTCTGTCTCTTGTGTGATTTTGGCTAAATGGTTCAAACTCAGATGTCCTTACCTGTGAATGGGGCTGAGTTGGATCCATTCCTCATTCATTCTTTGGGGGAAGTTCTAGTGTGATTTCCATGTCGGATTTAGGATTTGGGGTGAAGCATAGTCAGTCGTCTGCTTAGCCTCCTGAGCATCTATGCATTGACAACGTGCCTTACTCTCTGCCCTCTTCCCTGTCTCTCCAGTGAAGCCCAGGAGGAAGTGTTTCCACTCTTACTGCCCACCTCATGCCCATTCCCAGTGTAGGTTCAACCAGGCCACTCTGAGGGGAAACTTTGCTTCAGCAGTTTGTGGACCTCTTCCTCTGAATGCCTTCCAACAAAAGCTTTTTAGCTTCAGACCTAATCCTGTCCTGTTCCTCGATGCTGAACAGGGTCAATGACAACTGCTGAAAGTCATCCCAGGTCAGTAGATGGGTCCTAAAGATTGACTCAATCAGGGAAATCAGAACCTGCGGCTTCTCAGAGAATGGTAGATTCTGGGTCTTCCAGTTGTAGAGGTCAGAAGGGGAAAAGGGAATATATACCAGGAACCAGGAATGGGTGGGTCCCTGGTCCTGCCCTATCAGGAGGAGGGGCCTCCCTCAAGGCAAAGGAATCTCTGGACTGTGTTCTTCCCCTGTTGGGATTGGAAATGCTCTCATATGGGGGGACAGGTAGCAGAAGTAGAGAATGAAATGAAAAAGTCAGAGGCAGGTGGGTCAGGACGGACAAGAGAAGGGGGTGAACTAGGGTTATATGAAGGTGGATGGGGGAGGACTTCCTTAGCATCTGACTGCTGCAGAACTGGCTTTTGTCTCTACAGAGTTTGCCTTCAAGGGGGAGAACAACTTTTGGAAACAAGCAGTTTTGAATATGCCTTTGCAGTGGAGGGCTTTATTCACGGTGAAGGGTGCTGCATTAGAGGAAACCAGGAGTCAATGTAAGGGAACTGATGAGCGTGTCCTGGTGACCCAGCAACAACTTTCCAAAGTGCTTGAACCAAGGCAGGGTAAAGGGAATATTCAGAGGGCCAGCCCACACCAAAAGAGGGCCACTCAAGCTCACAAAAAGTGCAGTTTGTCCTTTGACAATTCACTCCAGAGTCATCAGAAAATCCTGAGGAAAACTTTCTAGGCATGTAGACCAGAGGAAAAACAGGTTGTGAAGATGATGACCCCATGGCAGAGACTTCGGGCAGGCAGGAGATACCCAAGAATAGGAGCTGCAAGAACAAATAAAAACAGAAAATGTCCAGACATAGAGGAAAAAAGCCTTAGTGTTTATGTGGTGCACCCCTGAGTGATGCTGTTACAGAGGAAGGAGTGCTCACCTGTGGGAGGTGCTACTCCATCGGTTGACTGGCCTTGGGCCTCTCAGCCACTTTAAGGACCATCCAAGCTTTAGGGTGTATTTATGTCACTGCAAGACCACCCACTTGGCCTTTCTTAGGTGTGTCCGTGCAACCACGGTACGACCTCATTGAGATTCTATAACTCTGAGGGGAGAATCCTCTTCTTTGCCGTGGGACAGGGAGGGAACAGTCTACTACGTGCACTACCCATTACCTGCCATTCATTCACTTATACAGCAATCATTCAGGGGTTAAGGACATTCCAAACCTATCCCCAGGGATTTACCAGATTGGCTGACTTGCAGCCAGACCAGACTAGACCAGGGGGCCACTTTAATCAGCATCCGGATCTTAGAAGGGGCCTGGGGAACCCCTTCATCAAGGACTACTGTTTCCCACCAGAACCGGAGGGATCCTTACCTGTAGACCAGATGGGTTCCAGAAAATTTGGAGGGTGTCTCAGGCATCTCTGCAGTCCCCTGTCAATAGGGAGGTTATGGGGGCCTAAAACACCTCAGGGGGTGCCTCCCCTGTAGTTGCAGACAGGAGGGATTACAGTGAGGCCAGTCCACCCATTGTGGCCATCTGGCTGGGGCCTCCAGCTGTTGTGGATTATTGAGTTAGATGATTAGAAATGTACTTTATTCTGTGCCAGATTGGAGTCTATTTATTATGGCCAGTGGCCTAGGAGGGGCTAGTGCCCAGAAAGTTCCCTCAGCAATGGGGAGGGGTCTGATTTCTCCTTTTAAATAGTGCTTTCACTTGGGGAGGGCTCAGGGGACAGCAAGTGGAATCTCACAGAAGCAGAACCAGGCCAGGTTATTGAGGGGTGGGCACAAGGAAGTTTCACACACTAGGTGAGCTACAAAACATCCTTCAACTGCAGCCAGTTTCCTGCCAAGCAGGATGTGGGGGTCTTGGGTGCTTTGTTCAAACACAAGCACAAGCACAGCTGCAAAATGGCACTGAGGCCCAAGATGGAGTCAGGTCGGCTATCACACTACACATCTGCAATCCCAGCAATTAGGAGGCTGAGACAGAGAATCTCTAAGAGTTTGAAGCCAGTCTGGGTTCCACAGTCTGTTGAAGTCCAGCCTTTAAAACACAGGGGGATCCTGTCTCAAAAACAAAACAAACAAAATAAAACACAAAACTCCAAAAAACAACAAAAAGCTAAGCAACAGCAAAAATAAGAAGCTCTGAGCTCTTGGGGGCGTTGGTCAGAACAACATGAAGCTGAGAGGCCAGTGATTCCGTCACCACAGGAGACTCAACTAAGAGCCCTTTTCTTCCAGAGTCAGTTTCCTCTGACAGGGACATTTCATGGGTGACAATCAGTTCCGCAAGAATTAACATTTCCTCACCTGCTCTGCGGTAACGAAGGACATAGACACAGGTTCAGGAGCCCTCTCTGCTGTCCAAGCTGGCTACAGAGTCGATCAGGAGCGAACAGCAGATATATAAATAAAATTTGAAATTTCCCTTTCTGTATGATGCACAGTAAACTTGTATCAAGATTTCCCCCACAGCCTGTAACCCCAGCACTTGGGAGGCTGAGGCAGGAGGATCGCTGTGAGTTCGAGACCAGCCTGGGGCTACATAGTGAGTTCTAGGTCAGTCTCTACTACATAGTGAGACCCTGTCTCAAAAA